ATTTAGTTATATATATATATATATATATATATATATTTAGTTATATATAGAACGTATGAATGAAATATAAAATTTTGAATATCGTAGTAGAATCAACTCCAACAGGACGATATTCTTTTAAATCACAGATTTAGAAGTAATGACATAAAACGTTGACAATTTGCAACTATGCGCATTTAATAGTTATTAAATCTCATCTTTGCTAAACTTACCATTGTTGTTGTTTTTGGATCGAAGCTTGCATTTGTCTAAAATTTTCCTCGAGTTGCCTTTGAAAATCAGGGAACGCAAATCCACCGTCAAATGGTACGGCTGTAAATAATAAAATAATCAATAAAATAATGAATATTAAACAATATTACAAAGGGAAAAATCAAATTGAATATTGTTTTTGAATATTCAGATAGCGTTACATGTTATACTATGTGTATAGACATTCAGATATATGAAGATTGTAATAATATATTATGTTTCCTGCTAAATTGCTATAATAAATATTTCAAATATATTAATATTTAAAAATGCAGCATTTCAATAAAAATTTTAAAACGAAGAAAGATATAATAAAATTACAATATATACTCTCGCTTAAAAGTTTGGAGCATTCTTTATTTTTTCTAAAAAATAAGAATAGTGCATAACTTTAATTTTCATATATAATTAATTAAAATTTCAGTATTTAATAATTTCAATGAATCAAATATTTATATATTTGAAGGAGTCATCGTTTCTTTTAAGATCTCAAGATGCTCTAAACTTTTGAGTGTAAGTATATCTAACAAAATAAAAATAAAAATAAAAATAAAAAATATTAAATTGTTGTGTCTAATTACTTTCATACAGTATATATTTTATACATCTTCTGCTGTTTATATTTATTCATTGAGAGTAAATTTTTAAAGATAATATTTTTAAAAGTGGTATAAGACAGCGAAAACAATTTTAATTGCAAATTGAAAGCACTTATAATGACAAATAATTCTTATTATCGTATTTAAAAATTGATTCAGACTTAATGTTTAGTAACTCTTACAATTAGTGCATGAAGTAACATATACAATTCACAATTTGAATAACAATAAATTAAACTTTGTCATAAGTTGTCAAAAGTTATATATAAAATTAATATTAACATATTATAAATTAATACATTAATGTTAATTTTATATTACAAAATTAATATATATTTAAATTATTTTTGCTGGCTTATTTACTTTCTACATTATTTTTAAAAATATTGCATATATCTTTCCTCGAATAATTGTGTCTTCAATTACTATAAATTAATTAATATAATATCTAACTATATTAATCCTATAACTAACTCAGAGTCACAAAATGATTCGATATACTTTCAACACGATTATAATTACTCTATTTCAGCAATTATTTTATTTCATTCACTCTATCCAAAATATTCACTTTCGTCATTTACTACAAATCCCGGCCGATTGCAAAAGATTCTTTTCAAGTGCAAATTAACACAGTGCACGCGTCCACCCAACAAATCTTCAGGATGATATTCTTGAACTCGAGTTCGCCCATTTAATTGTATTACCTCCTCCATAGCCATATCCCCCTGCATTAAACATGTTCGGTACGTTGCCCATAGTCGGTTCGACAGCCATAGGTGCGTTGACGGTATTCAAGTTGTCGGGATATCCTCCTTGATAACCTAGTGGCGGTGCATTATAATTTGTGCTACCAGCAGAAGCTCCAGCACTAGCAGAAGCGAAAGAAGTCGCAGCTCCAGTTCCACCGTCGCTCCATGCATTGTTATTACCAGCATTCGGTAGGAAATAAGGATTGCTAGGACTATACGGTGACGAGAAATCAGGAACGAACGAGGGCATGAAGAACGGAGGGAATTGAGAACTTGGGAATCCAGGATACATGGAGTTTCCTGTATTCGGTCCTTGATCTGGTGTCTGATTCGATTCAGGGATCTTATTAGGCTCTTTGGACTCGTCATCTGGATTGAAGCGTAAAGCTAAAGGCGTGGCCGTCGTTGATTTTGCAGAATCGGTCGGTTTCTTCGTTGGAGGCGCGCTGCTTGTTTCAGGTTTCGGTTTAACCGTCGCAGATTTGTCGGTTGGACTGGAGGACGTGGGTTCCGTGTCAGGATCTTCAGGACTCGGAGTAATTCTTGGTTTGGTAGTTGGAGCTTTTGAGTCAGGAGTTGATGTGATTGTTGGAGCTTTTGAATTAGGTGTCATAGTTGGACTAGAGGTTGTAGTTTCTGGATCAAATGTGCTGGGTTCGGTAGTCGGGCTAACAGTCGTGGCAGTCAAACTGGCAGTTGTGGATTTTTGATCGGGCGTTGATCTTCGATTCTTTTGAGTGGTAGACTTAGCAGGTGTAATCATTGCTCTTGGTTTGGGTGTCTCGCTGGTACTTGAACTTGTATCAGGCGTGGAATTTGTAGATTCTGGATCAGATGTTATAGGATCTGAATCAGGTGTTGAAGGATCTGAATCTGAAGGCGTTGTAGAATCAGATTTCGGAGACTCTGAACTGGGCGTTGTAGGATTTGGCTCTTTCGTGGAAGTACTTTGAGAATTTGTTTTGGACAGAGTCACAGCGGGATTTGAAGTAGACGTAGGTACAGTGGTACTTTTGCCAGAACTGCTGGATTCTCGTTTCATCCTCGATGGTCCAGTGAAATCCATGACATGTGGTCTATCATCTTGCAATCCATCTTTGTCGATAAAAACAAAGAAAATACCATTGTTTTCGTGTTTTCAATTGTTTCTACACAAACACTCTATTTTGTGGTCAATACTTCACATGTTTCACTGTCAGCATGCTTTTGTGGTAAGTTTCGAACATTTTGATTTTCAGGGAAATCCTTCACCGTTTTCATGCACATGAGGGAAATATTTCGTTGCATAAGATTACATGACATTGTTAACTTTACCAATATTTACTCTTTTTATCTTTGAAGGACTTCGATCGTTTAATTTATTTTTACAATACGTACATAAGATAAAACAGAAACATAGAATTTCACATAGAACATAAAACATGCAGAGAGATTATTTGAATGGTACTATCTTGGTAAAATACATTCGTACAAATAACAGTTCTTTCACATAAGGAAGGATTTCTCCAATCGACACATGAAATGAATACGCGCCATTATAGAACATAAATTGAAAAAGTTTATTTGAAATAAACGACGAGCGTCAAAAAATGCTATTTATGCATTGATATAAATAATTTATCATTGATAAGTACAAATTATACTTGGAATTTTTTCTAGTCTTAACTATCAGTCGAGAAGATATTTTCTTGAGTGAATGTAGAATAATATGAATAATTTAAAATTCGAGACAAAGTTGCACGATAACTTCTACACGTAGCTAGCTTTATTAAAGAAAAAATATTTACAAAAGATTAAGAAATATTATATTGATAAGATAATATTATTTATATTATTTAATTTGGTAATTATTATCAAAATTTTCTCATTATATTCTCGATATTTTCAATATTCTGAAATATCATCAATTTCAATAATCTTGAATTATATTATAAAAGTCAATGTAACTTTCTTCGTACCGTAAAATGGCTGTTAAAAATTTTCAGCTAAAATATAATTAATAATAAATATAGATATACAATTTTATAAGTACGATTATTATTATATTATTAAATAAAGAATTTCTATATTCAGAATTATATCACATTAAATATATAATGCATTCTGTATATCATAAAAATGTTTACAAAAACAATTTTGTTATAATTTATTATAGTTTTATTAGTCTTTAATAAAAACAACATTTTTAAGATTGACACGATAACTTTCACGTAAAACCAATTTTACGAAAGAAAAATATTTTTCTCGTGGAAACAATTTAAAACCAAATTTAAAAACCAAAGGATTAAACTTCAAAACTTTGTCAAATCATTGACATTTTACTTTTCCTAAAATCTTTATGACGCGCTTCTCAAGGTCGTATCTACCAAGGAACTTTCCGATTCTAACGGAACTCGTTCATGAAGTTACAAGGAAAAAAAGTTCTATGTATGTAATTTCCTTAACTCTTTCGAGACTATTGGGACGATAATACTCCCAATATAAATTCCCATGCTATGTCTACTGACATAGACAAGCTCTCAGAATATAATAAATAAATTTTTTTCTTACACATAAAAGTATATAATTCCCTTGTCATTACAAACAAGTTTGAATATAATTCCAATGAAAGACTGATGAAACAATATATTTCATTTTCTTCACTTTTAAAAATTTTCTAAACCTAATTCTCCTTTACATGTGAATACACAAATAGATAAAAAATGTAAAATAAAATTTGTTCATTTTAAGAAAATAGACTTAGAATGTTTTATTAAAAATTCCCTTGGTACATATGTACTTAAATGAGGCAGCATCTCGTAAAAAAATTTTATTCTACATTTTTAGTTTATTATTATTAGGAAGTAGGATAACTTATTATTAACAATAATAAAGTTAATTATTCCTTTGTGTCACGTCTGAAATTAGCTAAATTCAAACACACTTATGATAAATGTTCAGATCAAGAACAATATCTCAACAAACAATTTTTCTCTGCATTTTTGACTCATTTTTTTCATGATGAATCACCACTTACACCACTATTACCGGGAACATCCGGTATAATTGTGTTAATTGTAAAAAAAAAAAAAAGAAAAATCTGTCTCGAAAGCGTTAAGTCGATCGTAAGATCGTTGCAGCGCAACAGTAAAATCAAAGAAAATGGAAAGAAAGTTCAGCTGAGATCAAGGTAAGGAGACGGAACGAGGTCATGGTTCACGGGCTTCACGGTCAATTATTATCTTCGCGCGATGACACACAATGTTGTTTACATGCAAAGGAGGATGCATCGTGCAATTGATAGTTACGTACGTGAGAATATCGATTATCGATATTATCGCGGTTGTAAAATCTTCCGCTTGCAATATTTCTTGGTACATGCATGTACGAACATTCTGTCGATATTTCGCGCTGATTAAGCAACTGCGTAGATAAACCGACACGACGCTTCTTTCCTTATATTTTTGTACAGATTATGCGGCAATCAATTATTGAAAACATACCCGACGTTTTAAACAAATTTTAAATTAAAATAAGTTTTTGAAATGTTACAATCGAGTAATGTGACATTACTTTTAACAAATTAATTAATATAATCTAGATATTTAAATGATGTTACTTTTAATAGATCAAGCTGATATTTAATTGTAAATTAACTAATATAAGTTAGTTATGTGAAATATAACATATTCAATAATGTGATTTGCTTTTTTATAATTGATTAATTTAATCATATTAAAATATTAATTTAGTTCTTGACAAAATTCTTATTTTAAGAAAAACTTCCTTTCCTCATTGATGTGTATTTTACTTTGTGATAACTAGGCGTTATTTAAAGGCGTGAATACGTCTACAGAATGCAATTTAATGCAAAGATATGTAAAATATCTGGAAATTAATTGTTATAAATCACTTCTGATTAAAAACGATTTATGCCAATGTAAATATTTTTTTGTTGAATTCTGTTTAATTACTATATCATGATAATTATATATTACGTTGCAATAGTTGTCAATTGATTTAGTTATTAATAAAAATTTTAATAAAGGGTGACTTAAATCGATTAACTTTCATTTAGTTTTAATATAAAACAGATTTTTATTTAAATTCCATTTTCTTAGTTGTATTAATTATGATTAATGTTATTACAATAATGTATCCATTAAAGAGAATTTTTGTACTATCATATACCTAAAAGAATAATTATTTTGTCTCAAAATAATTTGTTCTAATATTATTAATGAATGAAATGGTGTAATGAAATACTTTTATTTAGAATCAAACTGCATCATCGGTTCCTTTTACGTTCAATTCCAAGAGTCAGAATTCAGTTTTTTTACGGAAGGACGTTTACGCCATAAAGAATAGCTCAGACCTGTTTTTCATTGTCAACTCAGACTAACTAACGTCGATACATTAATGCGTACGGTTCTGTATATTCACCAAATATATATAAACATTTCCATTATCAGCGCGGATTATTATCTAGCAGTTCGAAAGTTTAATAATATTTCACGATCACACGATATTTTGTAAGTTTCCTGTGATTTGGCGCAACGTCAATTTAAACATTATATAACTTACTGTTAGATGAAATTTTTGACGTGAGAAAATAATTTTTTTCTTAGAAATAACATCAATTCTAGTTAATTAAGATGATTACTCCAATGCTAAGAATGTCTTTCATAAATCCTATTTATTCATAAACAGACTGTGAATTTTTATGCATTTCTGAATTTTTATAAACGTAAGTAATGATAAACTAAAAAGAAATTTGTTTCATCTATTAAATGTTTAATATTATTTAATATTTAAATAAATTTTGCAAAATATTGCAATATTATATATACCTACTACATATTATATATATATATATATATATGTAGTACATATAATATACATGTATTATATTATGTTATGTAGGTGTATAATAATATATTTTTATGTATTATTGTCCATTATAATATTGTAATATTATAGATTTTGTAAATTTGCTCTCAACCGCTAATAATTTAAGTTGTTGACGCAACTCTAAATGAAAATATATTATAATAAATTATAATAAATATTTAATATATATATTCTAATAAATATTTAATATTTGATTAATTAATATAGATACTGAATATTAAATATTTAGTAAATAAAACGAATTTCTTTTTATATTCTAAGTATTTAAAATCTAAATAATAATTATACTACATTAGATACTTTGTCTTTATATATTTTTTTATATTACATTCTATATATAAAATACATAAAAATCCACAGACTCATTCATAAATAGTAGCGAGAACGATATGTCACGTTGAAGAGTGTCACGATTATATTTAAACTACCTCAATTACTTCGTCATGCAAGAATTTGCTTTTTAATTGTCAAAATTGTTAGCTGTGCGAGTGCGCTTAGCGGCGTACATGCAAACAACGTACATGCAACATTCATTAAATAGCAGTCTGCCTCTACCGATTCATGTATTAGTAAGGAACAATTTATTTCTGTACAAGCCAGGTTCGTGCATGTGTTTACTCAATGACTACTCACTTCTGCGAAATCTGAAGAGAGGGGGCCGCAAATCCGCAAAGGATCCCGTAACGATGATAAACAACAGCAATGTCAAGATCCTAATGTCCATTTTATTTTACCCGGAACCGACGAATCGTCGAAGCAAAAAAAAAAAAAAAAGATTGTATACTTGACACTACCAAACACACAAATATTCGATCGATCCAGACGATGTCGCAGTTTGCGATGGAATGACTGAGCCAATCGGTGTCCTCGCCATCTTATATAGGATTCGCTCTCATCTCTTCCTTACCTTCGCTCGTTTCGACGCTCGTTGTACGCCGTGCGAAAAATTGCACGACTGAAATCACGGGAAATTTATAATGCACGCGAAGTATACGTGTTGTTCAATTCCCACGGTGCAGTTTGCTCGTTTGAAACGGTGAGAAATTTTCAATTTGATATTTTTATTTGGAATTGTATTCGAAATATCGTAATTAGATTGTACTTGCTTATACATTTTGAAATTTTTATTTATATGTATTTTTATGTAAAGAAATAGAACCTAAATAAAAATTAGTTTCATTTATTATATATTACAATAAATATTCTGTTTTGGATATTTTATATATTTCTGCACGTCATGTTCATTGTGTGCATTTTATGTATTCTTAAATTTCTCATAAATGCATAAAAATCCGCAGTCTAGTTATAATTGAATTAGTAGTGTTCAAACATTTATTTAAAACTAAGAAACACAGAAATAGACATAACGCATTTAAGACACAAAAACATATAAAATAATTATTTATTATAAT